AAGACTCAGCTAGGTGCAGTTTTTGGTGCATCCCTTGCCTTCCTCTCCTTCTTCGCTATTCTGATTAAACGTTTGTCTGAGATGCAGCAAAATGCCAAATGAAGTAATTTGCTATGGAACAACAACAACGATTAATATACGAATATTAGACTATTTTGTGACGACCTTATGAAAGGAAAACACTAATAGTAGTGATAAGAAGTACAGTGCCGGAAGTAGGCAGATTTTGAGAAAATCTTTATCCACGAATCATTCAGCAAAGTGGACTCGAGGTTAAACAACCCAGCACGAACGGCAACCGCCAGGGCTTACAAATCCGCCGTCTCGTATTCACCCCGCATCAAAAGAACTTAAGTGAAAGAGTCAAATTTTTCCAGTCCAGGTGCGGAATGACGACAGTACGCATATCCACCAGCAAGCTTGACAGTCTCTTGCATAATGAGGCATCATAAACAAACCAAGAGAAGGCCGGGTTGGTGTGTGAGGTAAACTGCAGAGAGTTACACTGGAGAAACGGTAGAACACTGAAGATCTGGACCAATGAACACATGGCTTATCTCAGAAAGGCAGAAGGAACTCTCCCGCTGTGAATGATCTGCGTCATACAATTGGAGGCAAATAGCATCATCCGCACGGAAGCCAACTGGCATATAGAATAGACTTTGAAAACAGTCACAGTGGAACGGGAAAAAAACGGTAAGATTTACAGTACGAAAGAAACCTTTAAATTCAGTCAAATGCGGTTTCTTGTTACTTTATTAAATTCAAAATAAATGTAGCGATTTGGAATCGGTTCTTTCCTTACAAATTCCTGAAGGTACTCCTGCAACCTTGCCCTAATAACAGCATCATTCTAAATTTCTAATTAACGTAATGTGTTGTACTCTCTCATATCTACTCATGTGACTCTTGCTACGGTAGAGGTCGTTTTACTTCAACAACCTCAACATGGTAGAGGTCGTGTTACTTCGTAGGACAATTTATATTGCACAAGAACAGAATATGTTGTAGCGGCAATAAATCAGAGGCAAGAGCCGAAAATCACGAAAGCTCGATTCTGCGGAAATTGAATCCCATAACAGCAGTCGTAAAGGGGATTGTGCGGCAAGGATCGAAGCAGTGGCTTTACAATCTCTGATATTTATACGTTGCTTAACGGTTCTTTTGATATTCATTGGTCTTGAAACGTTCCTTCCTTGCGGGAACGCCTAACGGTCTTTCTTGCCGCGGCAATCAGCCGATTTCTGATATAATCTTTTCTTTCTAATCTTGATGAAGTAAAGCTTCCTCACTGGTGCTCCTCATGCTGATTTCTGAATAGATGAGGTTCTTGCACTCAGCTATTCGCTACCTCAGTGGCGGTGGTAATCACTGACGCCTGTCACTCCGCGTGAGTGACACAATGCGCAATTAGTCTTTATTGAGAAGAGTACTGTTTCGCTGGGTGGCGATGAGCGCCTTGATTCGTCTTGCTGTCCCCCGGCCGTCGCTGTTGTGCTCGACGGCCGTAATTGCCCTCCGAGGAGCGGCAGCGGCTTGCTGGCTGACACGAAACGCAATCCAATTCACGATCCATCGTTGACTTAGCCGTCTGTCGATGGAACGTCTTTCGAACAGCCAATCGTCGAAGACGCTTTTTAAGCACGATGGCCAGTTGACTGCTGACCGATCGTCCGGCTGATTTCCATGTGACTCACTCCGTACCGTCTCTTTCCACGTCTTGGGCGGTCAAAAACGGAACGTGGTGTTAAACTGCCGATTTTGTAGGCTCGTTTTAAAGTTCAATTGATGAAATCGAGAGTAACAGTCGTTTATTGTTTGAATTATTCAAATATATTTATTTATCAAATGCAAAATGCAGTAGAGGAAAATATCATCAGGCGTCATCAGAAAGTGAGTTCAGGGCTCCTTGGCCACCTTCAAATCACGTTTCACGATAGGCGTTAACAAAATGAAGCACGGACTCCGGCTAACTGCACCGGCAGATTGGGTGGCTTCATATATGCTTGCGGTAGTCACCAAGCTTGCATTGAACTTGGCCTGATTGGAAATAGTCGAGCAGCACCAGCATCATTATTCTGTGAAGCCGAGTAACTCACCTTTATGCTTTCCAAACTGAATAGATGAGTACTACTCTGTTGGAAAAAAAATCGTGAGACTATGGTATACTATTTCTAAAAGGAAGACATTTCTGACTGATGCATAGAAATGGAGATTATCGCTGCATCATGAACTATGTGAAGAGAATGGCTCTAGCGATGACCTTCAAATGTGAAAGTCTGATGGGAACCGGCATCCTAACGATTACAAACTTTTATACCCTTTGGGCAATGAGTTTATTTTTTAGTAAGTACCGTGCTATTAATAGGGGGCGCATCTTCTGAACAAGCTTCAAACAGAACAAGACATTGGTTTGAATTTAAACTTCATAA